TTTTAAGAAAACATTCATTATTTATTTAGTTTGTGCATCAATTAAACAAAGTTTCACATAGGTATATAGAGGACAAAAATGTCCGTGTCGAAAAACCGTCATAAAAATGTGAAGCTTGGGAGCACAGACTTAAGTTTGGTATCATTTTAAAGAAGACCCTTGACAGATTAGTGCTGAAGTAAAATAAAAGTTAATAAGTAAATCGAAAAAAAAAGTTATATAGGTATAGGTTTATGAAAATTATTTATGGAAATTATTTTATATAAAATATAGAAACGGCAAGAAAATCAAATCTAAATAAGTTGTGTTCCAAATTTGAGGTTAATATCTCAAAAAATGAGCTTTCAGTAAGAGTTTGTTTGGGCGCAGTAACAGATTTCCCCCATTGGGTGCCAGCAAAACTCCACTGGTGCACACAGTGATTGGATTTGTTATTTGCAGTTAAGTTTTTCTCTCTCAATATTACAAACACACACATGCACACACACACTTTTTTTTATAACACACATACTAACCACACTCAGACATCCATACCAACACACCCACACAATTATCGTTGCACAATTTATCCAATTGGCTCTATAATATGCCGAAGCAGAAAACAGGAATAAAGCAAGTATTTGCTTTATAGACCAAACCTGGAAAAATGGCACCATCTGATAAAAAATGGTAAAAATTAACATTTTGAAGCCTTGCCAACAGAACGAAAGCCTCTTAACAAAGATTGCATCATTTTATAGTTAAATGAACCAGGGATTAAAAAATGCAGTTTTAATGGGTTTCAATGGGGACATTTTTGTCCAAAAGGCGCTGAGAGGAAGTATTTTGTGTACCTAGTGCAAAAAAGATTTTTCAAAGGAAATGGGGTGAAATAGTAAAATTACAATAAAAATACTCACCTGTGCCAAAATTCACGCAGTTAGCATTAACAAAAAAAAAGAAGTTATGCATAGCTACAAAGTGGACAAAAATGTCCATGTCAAAAATCTGTCAAAAAAATGTTATGCTTGGGAGCAAAGACTTAAGTTTGGTCTCATTTTAAAGAGGACCCTTGCCAGATTATTGCTGAAGTTAAACAAGTGAAAAAAGTGAAACCACAAATTTCGTATAGAGGTTTAAGTTTATGAAAATTATTTATGAACATTATTATCGCTGTTTTATATAAAATATATATTTTATGAAACATGTTGAACTCTAAAACTGATATAAATTCAAAGCCATAAATCTAAATAAGTTGTGTTCCAAATTTGAGGTTGATATCTCAAAAAATGAGCTTTCAGTAAGAGTTTGTTTGGACGCAGTAACAGATTTCCCCCATTGGTTGCCAGCAAAACTCCACTGGTGCACACAGTGATTGGATTTTAGATTTGCAATTGAGTTTTTCTCTCTCAAATATTACAAGCACACACATTTTTTTATAACACACATACTAACCACACTCAGACATCCATACCAACACACCCACACAATTATCGTTGCACAATTTATCCAATTGGCTCTATAATATGGCGAAGCAGAAAACAGGAATAAAGCGATATTTGTTTTATAGGCCAAACCTGGAAAAATGGCACCATCTGATAAAAAAATGGTAAAAATTTAAATTCTGAAGCCTTGCCAACAGAATGAAAGCCTCTTAAAAAAGATTGCATCATTTTATAGTTAAATGAACCTGGGATTAAAAATTGCAGTTTTAATGGGTTTCAATGGGGACATTTTTGTCCAGAAGGCGCTGAGAGGGAGTATTTTGTGTACCTAGTGCAAAAAATATGTTTTTAAGAAAATGGCAGTGAAATAGAAAAATTCCAATACTCAATCAATACTTCAAGGAAATCAATACTTCAGCAAGGATGCATTAAATTGATCAAAAGTTATAATTTCACAAAATATTTTTTCAATACTTCAAGGAAATCAATACTTCAGCAAGGATGCATTAAATTGATCAAAAGTTATAATTTCACAAAATATTCTATTTCATATAAATGAAATAGAACTTTCTATTCATCAAAGAATGCTGAAAAAAATTGTACACAACTGTTTTAAGGTTGATAATAATAATAAATATTTTTTTGAGCATCAAATCAGCATATTAGAATGATTTCTGAAGGATCATTTGAAACTGAAGACTGGAGTAATGATCCTGAAAATTCAGCTTTGCATCACAGGAATAAACTACATTTTAAAATTTATTCAAATAGAAAACTATTTAAAAATTTTTTTAAAGAATATTTCACAATGTTACTCTTTTTTTGTTGTTATATTTTTAATCAAGTAAATGCAGCCTTGGTGAGCATAAGACACTTATTTTCAAAACATTAAAAATCTTACCGATTCATTAGGCATATATATGGCATTTTAAAACTAAAATACACATTTATAAAAACTATATAAGCATATTAAAAAAACAGTAAAATAACTAAAACTAAAATAGAAAATTAAAAAATACATATACAAAATAAAAACTATAGTATTTCAGTGATATTAAAATAACACTGACGTCAGCTAAAAACCCATACATATGTTTGACTTAATCAAGTGCAAGTATATTGGTTAGCTACAGATTAGTTTGTCTCTCCAGCTGTGAACAATAAGGGCCTTAACGTGCCCAGCTTCCAATAGAGTCGTGATTATCATTGTGAGTGAGGGTAAGTTGATTTTGAGAATGTAGAGCATGGTTAACATGTGACCTATATTCTGTTGTGTGCGTTGGCTGCTGACCTACAGATGGGCAACAACAGAGCTGCTGGAATCGGTGACCTTCAATGGTTTACAGATTGAAAAAGTGTTTTGTGAATACGCTTTCAATGCATTCATGTGTGGATGCTGTCATGTGTGATGCAGACAGTGACAGAATAAAAATGTAAAATTAAAGGTTCTATTCACAGTAATTCTGTAATGTCCATAATAATCTAACTATAATCTGATTTTGGATTCAGAATACATTAAAAATATGTACCAAATCTTTATGTCACACAGTAGGTCTTCAGTATAGTGAACTTACTTACTTATTGACTTATTACAGACTTGAATATTGTTTTTGGCTCAAAATGAATTCATCTGCCCCGAAAGACTCACAATTACTCTTGAAAATGTCCTTTTGATCATAATAACCATGAAACAAGCCAAAGCCCAGAATACAATGTAATGTATAATATTGCCTGCATTTCACTGGCCACAGGGAGCAGACTCATAAGCTCATTTGTTTTGAATGAAACTGAGCCAATAACTCTTGTTGTTCTGAGCTGAACTTCTCTTTTTTTCTGCTATTAGAAGTTCTGCTATCAAGGAAAGTTCACCAACACAAACTTTGACAATGATCCACATTTGAAAGTCTAAAATGTTAAGAAGTCATGAATGGATTATCCAATGACTTCTTTAAAAGGGATTTCTTGGGTAATTTTTGGGACACAATAGTTCATCTTGCAAAATGCATTTTCATGTGACACCAATGTTATTTTAGTATTAATGAGATACAATTATAGGTTTTTTATTCGTTTTTATTTTGAAATGTTCCATTATATATATATATATATATATATAAAATTATATTAATTTAAAATATATATATATGCCTATATTATTATTTTTCTTTTGAGTTTTAGTTATTTTAGTAGCTACATTAAAGGTGCTCTACGTAACTTTTAGCGGCCTCTAGTGGTGATGTTTCAGATTGCAACCAAATTTTACAAGAGCGCTCGTGCTCGAACTCATAGACAATACCGTCTATTACGCAAATATCTCGGCGAATACTTGACGTTTTTGCGGAGATATTAGCAGAAAACCATCGGGCGCGCTGCAAAATTGCGGACGCCGGACCCAGAGAGCTCAAATTCGGGGGAGGAGGTCCCAGGGGAACCCTTGCCCGAACGCTAGAGGGGCGGGCCTCGGGGATGCCCCCTACCGGATCGCCGTTCGCTGGGACCCCCGATTTCGAACGGCTATAACTCGGGGAGCCGGGCGAGTTGGACCTCGGGGGTGGGCTCGTTCGAAAGGCCCCGTCCAGCACTACGAACGATTAGAGTCTTGGGAATATTGATCAAAGATTGACTGAGATATAAGCCGAAAAACATGCGCCTTCAACCGGACGTAACTCCCTGACCGTCTACAATAGACTGTATATAAGGAGAGAGGCTCGGGAGCGCGCATGCACGTCACATCCGTTGGATTTCGCGGTAAATCCGACCCGGAGACTTCACATAGAAATAGGAATACTGGCCTTCAGAGGTAATAGCAAAACTCGACAAGTGGATCATTTTAATGTGTGATTACAACCCCTTCACACACAGGCAATAAAAAAAGGATTCATTTTAGTAGAAAAGTTACATAGAGCACCTTTAAGTTAAACTAAATGAAAATGAGAAATGTTGAAAAGCTTTTTATATTTTAAGCATTTTTATATTTTATTTCAGTTACCATTTATTTTGGTTGATGCAACAAATATTTATTCTAGATATCAATTCTCGTATAGATTTTTCGACAAAACACACATTTTTTAAATGTTTTTTTGCTACGTAAATCTGTCATAAATAGGACAATAATGTAAATAGAAGTATATCATATTGCTGTGGTTACTTCTAAAATAATTTGAGGGTCATCTAAAATAGAACGTTGTCGGTAAATTTTGTTATGTTCCAAACAAACTGTCACGGGTACCAACTCTTCCTAATGTGGAACAACGAGCACCGTCTGTAGAACGTGATTCAATCCGTAGTATCTGCCTTTCCACTCTAATGCCACGTGCGGAGAGGGGGGTGTGCAAACATGTGAGGCCGACCAATCCCGACTCGGATACTTATGGATTGGTTCTACTTTCTGTCCAATCAGCGACTCGTCTCTGATCTCTCAGCCAATGGGAGCGCAGTCTGCCTTGGCTTTTGTCCAGCACGTGTAGCGAATGCGATTCACATGTTGTCCCTCGCTGTAGAGTGACGTGACGTCACGTGAGTGGAGAAAGGAAGAGGATAGAACAATCTCTCAGGAGGACAATAACGTTAGACTACTGCGAACGACGAAGACGTCGACACAAAATCTTATTAAGCAATAGATTTTATGAAACTACTTTTAGGCGTACGTACAACAGGTCAAGTTGTGTCAGTGGCGCTAGGTTGTTGTGGTACCGACCCAGAAACGACCCAGTATTAAGGTAAGGGTTTTACGAATTTATTAATAATAAGAATTTTTACATCTAAAAAATGTTAATAAATATCTCCGTTATATTCCAGAAATGGTACACGTGTTTGCCATCTCGCTTGATGTGTGTTTACACCATGTTGAGGTGCATTATCCCTTTGTTTTGCCAGTTTATGCAGACTGTCATCATGTTATAATTGCATTTTAAAATAATTTGAAAAGTAGGAAATTACGTATTCATTACAACCTGAAACTGGTTAACATATACATTTGATCAAGTTCTCGGTGATATTTTCTGTTGTTTTCCCCCCACATGTGGTGGATGTTTTATTATTACTTTTTAAATGATTTTCATGTTTATGTGAAGAATATTTAATTTATTCAATATAAAGAAAAAAAAATCCAATTTCAATATGTCTATTTATATTGGCTTAAAAGCTAACATTTGTATGGATTGTTATGCGTCACACCCCACATGCGTTCCAAGAGCTTAACGTTAGTCAACTCAGCATAAATAATAGTGTTCTTTAAATGTTTAATGTTTACATGTTACATTTATTCATATTGCAAAAGCTTTTATCCAAAACGACTATAATGTCTTTCTTCTTCTATATCGATCTTTTTTAAATCACCAAGCAGTCCATCTGGTGAAAGTTAATTTGTCATAATGGCACCGCCTAGCTGTTTATTTTTTATGAGCCACATGCCCTCAAGAGTGTTTTCTTCAACTCGGTCAATTCTGAAACCCTACACTGTATTTATAGCTGTCCATCTAAACAACATTGTAAGGTATAGGCATTATAGGCATGCACATAGCATATTCATGTGCTTTTCAAAACTCCTATGTTTTTTTTCTTCTCAAGATACAGACCATATGTGGTATTGTGGCCTTTGACCTAGTGAAAGGAACATGGCGTGCTGTTCTTCATGGATAGTGTGATTTTTAAACAGGATAATTGTGGAATCTCCGTGATCTCTCTCTTTCTGTTTTGGACTGTATCCTGTGTTCCTGCGTTCGTTTTTTTATCCACACTGTCTGTTCCCAATTGTTTGTTTGGTGCTAGCACCTCTCTTGTTTCTTGACTTACAAAAATTTTTGTCTGTCACCTCAACAATAAGGTTTATTTTCTTCAAGTCCAGTCAAGCCAACATATACATGTTTTTATGTACTGTACTGTACTGTAGACACACACACACACACATTGTGTTTTCATGTTTTATGGGGACTTTCCATTGACATAATCATTTTTATACTGAACAAACTGTATATTCTATCCCCCTACATTAACCCTACCCATAAAACTGGCATCACAGACAACGTTCTGCATTTTTACATTTTCCAAAAACATCACTTAGTATGATTTATAAGCTGTTTTCCTCATGGGGACCAAAAATGTCCTGACAAGGATTTCGGATATTACCATCTTTGTGGGGTTTGTAGGGTAAAACTATAATGTAGGGTTTACCAGGCCACACACACACACACACACTCACACCACACATTCCACTCACTCACTCCCTCTCTCACACACACATTCCATTCACTCCACCCACTCACTCACTCACTCACTCATAAATTATTTTCTTTTAAATTTTCTATTCATCAAAGAATCCTGAAAAATTGTATCAGGATAAGGAAAAGGATCCTTGTAAAAGGATATAAAATGTTTCCGCTATTTTCAACATTAATAAAAATAAGAAATATTTTTGCAATAAGACACTTTCAAAAATATTAACTACTACAAACTTTTGCTAAGTAGTTTAATGGTAATTTAGTCATTTTTAAACTATTGTAGTCAATCCTCTAAGTCAGAGGTCTTCAATCCTACTCCTGCCCTGCAGAGTTTATATCAAACCTGCTTCAGTCTGTGATTTTCAAGCGATCCTGAAGAGCTTGACTAGCTGGTTCAGGTGTGTTTGATTAGGGTTGGAGTAAAACGCTGCAGGAGAGTGCGCCTCCAGGAGCAGGGTTGAAGACCTATGCTCTAAGTCATTCTAGCAGTTTTAACAAGGACTGACCAGTTCAGTTCCGTCAACCGGCCCCTTCCCCTATTGTTGTGCTTTTTGTTAACATTCTCTCAGCTGTATTTCACATTCCTCATAATTTTCAGCTGCCATGTTCCCTTGAGAGAAATCACTTGCTGCCATCAGTTCAGTTCATTTCAGGACACATCGCTCTTCAGCTTTAAACAATCTGCCACCTCACACATATCTGTTTTCTCACATTTCAGTGATGCTGTCACCGGGAAGTCCTTCCAAATGGCAAATGCAATATTCCCTCTCCTCGACCCCCAGTTCTCTCCTGTACAGTGAGAGTGACCAGACGGAGGACGAATCTGAGGTCTTCACCTCTGAGATTAAAGCTGGAGGAGTTGCGCCTGATCCAAAGCTATTCTCCTTGGCCAATGGGAGCTCTCAAAATTCCAAACCGACTCTCACCTTTGTGAACCAGAGGAGTGGTAGAGTTGAAATTGGTCAAACTGGATGTTTCTCGCCATCTCCAGCTTACAACAGTCAGAACCCAGCGCCATACGAAAGGATTCCCACAGAGGGAGACCTGAGGTTTGCACGCAAAGTAAGTCTGAAAATCTCTTTACCCTGTGATATTTTCATGCATTCTGCTTCTCTTGTATTTTGAATTGGTGTCAGCCTACGTTTGCATTACGTCAGCGAACGACTAATGACTTTTTTTTGAGTATGCCTTGGGCAAGAATTATTTAAATAAGGAATATTGTGATGTGTACGTTACCCGGAAAAAAACTTAAGACTACAATTGAGGCGTTTCAGGGAGTTCAGAAACGGTGCTTACTGAGATATAGATACAGTATATATACTGATATAGTCATCACTTCCTTTGGAGTGACTGTGCTTTGTAACTCTGACCTTTTTCATGCTCAAACGGCAACATTACACACGAAAGAAAGTTTAAAATGTAAAAAAGCAAAATAAGATTAAAACAGGTTTAAATAGGTCATGTACGTTTTTTTTATTATTATTCATTGTTTTTAATTAATTTTTTCTCCTGAGATCCACTTATTTCAGTCAAGTAGTTTTGTATGACCATTTCTCTGAGCCTTACATGTAAACCGTACATTTTAGGCCGCTGTACCTTTAAGCGCCCCTTTCAAATGTGAAATGCACACCATTAATAAGCACATTCTCTCACACATCAGCTTGTGAGTGGCTGTCATGTCAAATATAGTTTGGTAACTGGGCCATCCTTCTATATAAGCCTCTTTGCAAAGTCCTTGCATCCCATTGTGACGGAGAAACACAAACCAATATGTGCTGAAAATGTTACATGAACAAATCAGATCTGATCACCTAGTGGTATCATTGACTTACAGTTGTGGGTGGTCATGTTGATACATTGATCTGTGTGCAACTTTTTAATAACACAAAGCTTTGGAAATTCAGAATGAGTCATCTTTAGGGGCCAAGCACTGAAGGTGCAGCGTAGGCACTTACTGGATCCGTTAGTGTTCTTCTTCTTCCTCTCTTGAAGTCTTAAGGCAGCCCATTCCTTTAAAATTGCTTAAGCCTCCAAGACCAATACATGCGCTTTAAATGTTTCTATGATGATTTTATTGGTAAATGCAAGTTTTAATATAATTTCTTTTACAGTGTTCAGAGCTGCATGGGTACATCAGGCCTCTGTTGGAGCTGTTGAATGGGTTGAAAAGGGGTCGATATGAAAAAGGTAATGCAGTGAATAAATTCTATATACACTACCTTTCAAAAATGGGGCCAATAATATTTAAAAAAAAAAAAGAATACTTTTATTCATTAAGATTGCATTGAATTGATACAAATGACAGTAAACATTTATAATGTTACAAACGATTTCTATTTCAAATAAATGCTGTTCTTTAACATTTTCCATTCATCAAAGAAAATTCAGCTTGATCATCACAGGAATAAATTCTATTTTAAAGTGTAATTAAAATATTGAAAATATAATAACATTTTATAACTTAAAATATTTGTTTTCTATTACAGTTTTTACTAAAGTTTTGATTTCAAATAAACACAGCCTTGATGAGCATAAGATAATTATTTCAAAAATATATATATATAAAAAAATCCAACCCCAAACATGTGAATGGTAGTGTATGTCCACACCTTATGTAATTTTGTATCTATTTTATTTATTAATTTGTTTCTTTTTGGCAGGTTTGAGCACATTTCAGCAGAGTGTTGCCATGGATAGACTGCGAAGGATTGTGGGTGTTCTACAAAAACCTGACCTTGGGTATTTTATTTCATTCTATTGAACAATGCATTTCTCTGCATCAGATTGAATACATATAACGCCTTTTATTAAATCTTATTTTTCTTCTATACCTCCATAGGGAGAAGTATATGGGGACTATTCTGCAGCTGGAGATGATGTTAAAGGCTTGGTTCCCTCAGGTGAGGCCTCAGCATCGCGATGGCACCCCTTCATTCCAAAATTGTATGGCTAGTCTGCCTCCACGCTGGAATCAGGACCAGTTACATATTCCTGTAAAGGTAAGCGGATAGAAGTGCTTTGAAACAAACAAACCGTATGAGACAAGCAACAAGTTTCTTCTCGGTTCAAAACGTTTTTCCACTTAAAAGGATAGTTCACCCAAAAATGTAACTTTTATCATTATTTACTCTCTCATGTCGCTCCAAACCCGTAAGACTTCCTTCCGTAAGTTCATCTTCGGAATGAAGATCTTTTAATGAAATCTGAGAGCGTTCTGTCCCTCCATTGACAGCTACGCAACTGACTCTTTGACCCTTCAAAAAGTTCATTAAGAGATCGTAAAACTAATCTATATATGAATTGAGTGATTTAGTCCAAATTTTCTGAGGAGGCACGATCGCTTTATATGATGAACAGTTTGAATTTAGGCTTTTAATTACATATAAACATTCATCAACTCACACATCAGTTGTGGTAGACGGAAGCTCAAGCATGTTCGCGTGACGTGCAAGAACCAATGAGGTTTATTCTCTTGTTACACATCACGTTTGAGCTTCCACAAGAACCAATGAGGTTTATTCTCTTGTTACACATCACGTTTGAGCTTCCACAAGAACCAATGAGGTTTATTCTCTTGTTACACATCACGTTTGAGCTTCCACAAGAACCAATGAGGTTTATTCTCTTGTTACACATCACGTTTGAGCTTCCACAAGAACCAATGAGGTTTATTCTCTTGTTACACATCACGTTTGAGCTTCCACAAGAACCAATGAGGTTTATTCTCTTGTTACACATCACGTTTGAGCTTCCACAAGAACCAATGAGGTTTATTCTCACGTTTCAAGGATGTTCGTTTGAGCTTCTGTTTATGCTCGCTGAGCAATGTATGTGAATAAAAGCCTAAATTAAATCTTTTCATCATATAAAGCCATTGTGTTATCAGGGTATATCAGGGCCTTTACAATCTACAACAATCTTGAATGGTTTAATTCCTCATCAAAACCCTTTTTCTTACAGAAACGCAGATTAAGTTGGTCAGACTCTGACTCGCAAGGTTCCTCAAGCAGCAAACGTATTCTACAGGACGATCGAGCACCAAGCCCCAGCGATACTAGCTCATGGATCAGCAACTCTGAAACCAGATTTAGCGAACTTGAAGACAGTGCAATCTGTACTAATCAAAATAAAATGACATCTGAATCCAAACACATCAAAAACAGCCATCTTCAAGTTCAGCAAAAGACAAACTCCTTAAACGAAACCCCTGTGACTGCAAAAGGAAGACCGCCTCCGCTTGTAATACCACCATCAGCCACAGAAGGCAGCATCTTGTTTATGCAGGATTGGTCAGTGTCCTCCACGACTCCTACTTCTGACCCACCAGCAGACTTGATGATAAGTGGGAAAGATGTGGGCGAATCTGTAAAAGGAGAGGGGCCAGAAAAACAGGTTAATTGTAAACATCATTGCACAGAGATGTTAAACACATAATGTTTTGAAGTTTCTCGCATTTAAAGGAATGGCCATTTTTTTCCCATCCTGTTGAAATTGGGAAATCATTGTTTTTCACAAAGTGAAAAGTGTTTTTCAGTTCCTTGGACTTTACATTCTGCCACATATATGTACAACACAGAAGTTATCATATGTACAGTGTGGCATAAGATTTGTTTTTATAAGATTATAGATTCTACATTTCTTAAGTCCTAAGAGGTCAGAGATGTGTCTTAAAATACGTGCTTGAGCCATATGGTCAACCGGTGAAACATGCACAGCTATCAAACACTCTACTGCACTGCCTTTCATGATAACACAGGCTTCCAACAATATTTATGAACATGGCACCAGGAAGCTAGAAGAATAGTCTGATAAAACATCCAAACAAAATCTACCTTAATGTCCTTTGACTTGAATTGAAAACCACTTTGAGCAACGAATGGAATAGATTTGCAGTATGGGAGGCAGTTTTATTTATTACTTCTTTACTTGAACATTCTGTGATCTTATATGCAGCCTTAAAATGACCCTTGAGAGTCCGTACATGTGGGCCGTGGGCCATTTTCATAGCTCAATGTTGTATGTTTATTAAGATACAGAGAGCCAAACAACTGATGGGATGCATCATGAAGTGTTATTCTATAATCTGGAAAGCAAATGGTCATTTATTGAATATTTTCTTGCCAAACACAGTTTGCACATTTATGTTGTTCTGCTTCCATTTTGTAATAGTTCATTTTGTCACAGAAATCTAGGTTTTTGTTTTAGAATATTGCACAGTTGTTCCCTTCTACTCACCTAAAAAAGTCCTTTTCCATTTAAAATTTGTTTCGAAAATCAGCATTGTAATTATTAACCATTCTCTAAAACATTATGTTCAAGTTAATTACGAGTATGTGGAGTGTCCCACACTGTAAAGATCACACTGAGGAAGATAAGACTTTTATTTAGCTTTTTGTAGAAAATAATCTGAAATTAGAGATACAGTATTCAGCTTCATGAGGAATGAGAAGAACTTTTGTTGACTGAGACGCATGTAGTCACAGCTGTACGAGTATCGTGAAAATATATGAGTATATTGTTGCCATCATAATGGAGATTGTACTATAAGGGAAAAGTGCATATGAAGATTGATTAACATTTAAATGAACTTAACAGCTTCATGTAATTGTGAAGGTAGAATTTTGAGGAAAATATATTTTTTAAATAAATAAATCTTCCTCAAAATTAAAAAAGTCAGGCATTATAGCACTGGTCTTATTTTCTATTGATTGTTTTGAACCCATTTTCTTTTTGTTACTGTTATTATATCAAAGTTTTTCATCAAGGTTGCTGAAATGTTTTTCAACGTTCCACTTTTTGATATCATTAAATGTTTCAAAGTTTCTTATATTGTTATTTGTCGTCTCTTTCTTTTTATTGTCTTTCTTTTTAGACATTAGTTATGGCATAGCCTATATAGAGCAAAAAATATAAATGGAAATATATTTTAAATATACATATAGCATTCAAAAGTTTGGGGTCGAAAGGAATCTCTTTAAGCTGCATTTTTTATTAAACATTTTATTTACAGTTAAAAAAGTAATATTGTGAAAATTTAATATATTTCAAACTGTAATTTATTCTTGTGATGGCAAAGCTGAATTTTCAGCATTATTACTCCAGTCTTCAGTGTCACATGGTCCTTCAAAAATCGTATTAATATGCTGATTTGGTGCTCAAGTTTTTTTTTAATCAATGTTGAAAACAGTTGTGCTGCTTAATATCTTTGAGGAAACTGATAATTCTTTTCAGGATTATTTGATTTTGATTAATTGAAAGTTCAAGTATTTATTTCAAATAGTTTTTTGTAACAATGTAAAGGTCTTTACTGCCACTTTTGATATATTTAGTAGGTCTTTGCCAGTTTTATATATATTTTAAATATTTGTATAGTCCAAAATATATTTAGCATAAATCTGTATATATATTTGACCAGGATAAATATATAGATAGTCTGTATTAACTTAATGAAAGTGCTCTTGATAGCTATTAATATGATTAACATGACTAGTAGGATAACGAATACACTAGCAGGTCCACATATTTCTCGAGTGTTCTATCTGAACATGACTGACCCCTGCTGGATGTCTGGTTGTTTTATAACTGAGTAATATAAAAGATTCATATTTATGTTTCAAAGTGATTTCACGAGGCTGAAGTTTCTTAGTGTACACCCTGTGATGTATAAATACATTCTCCTTGTTATTGTGATTTCAGACCAAAGACTGTGAGCAAGGAGGAAAAGGTTTTATAAGAAAGAAAGAAAGATAGAAAGAAAGAAAGAAAGGGGGGAAAAAACCGTGTATCAACTGTGTGTGCATGTCAAATATTGTTGTAATATATTGGTGATAATGGAGTCCATGCAGTATCTACACATGAACCTGTAAGCGGCAGCACCGCGAGTCCGCGACCAGAAGACCTGGAAAATGGCGGCTGGAACTGCAGGCGCTAGCGGCCACAAAAGTGGCTCATCGCCGCGCTTTGAGTCCACTTTGGACCGTCGTTTTCAGACTGTATCCAACACCATGGAATCCATTCAGGGACTATCCGTCTGGTGCATCGAGAACAAGAAATATCACAGCGTGATCGTGCGACACTGGATAAAGTGGCTGCGCAAATGTGAGTATTTAGCACGTTAGCCGGCTAATCTGAGCCTAGCTGTAAAACAACACCTGTTTACGGACCCATATTTGCTTATCCTGGGGTTCCAAAGTGAACGTGCGTGGTATTTGTGCGAATAAGTAGCACAGAAGTTATTGTGCCTGGCTAGTTTCTCTTCTTCAGCCCACTTGACAACTGTTGTGGCTTATTAGCAAACTGCTAATCTGTCCCCCATCAGGTCGGGACAGGTCGTATTTCAAAAGCTGGTGAGGTGGATTCAAAGACCGCTTTCCGAGGCAGCAGGTCTTTTAAGCACCATCATCTTTCAGAATACTGGTTCTGGGTCAGCTGCATTTTGGGTGTCATAGCACGATTCGAGCCAGCAACTTTTTGGGCAATAAAGGGGTGTTTGGGGTCAGCAGCATTCTGGGGCAGAATGGGGCATTTGGGGTCAGCTACATTTTGGGTGTCACAGGGTTGTTTTGAATCTGCAACATTTTAGGGCAATAAAGGGGTGTTAGGAGCATTTTTTTTGGCAGAATGTGGCGCTTTGGCACAGCTACATTTTGAGTGTTATAGGCATGTTTTGAATGAGCAGTGTTTTTTTGTGTGTTTTTTTTAGCTTTAAAGAGGTGTTTTGGAACAGCAGCATTTTTGGGTTAAAAAGTGATTTGTTGTCAGTTGCATTTTTGGGAAATAAAGGGATGTTTAGGGTCAGCAGCATTTTTGGGCAAGACTGACTATGAATTTTCTTGGCAATGATATTTCCGGGGTAGCCAGGTCTTTCCCCAACCGTCCCCATTATATATATAAACAGTGCCCTGCGAAGGTATTCGTACCCTTTCATTTTTTCCCCACATTTTATGTTGCTGCCTTATGCTAAATTACTTTTTTCCTCACATCAATCTACACTCTACACACCATAATGTCAAAGCTAAAAACAGATTTGTGATAACTTTGCAAATTTGTTAAAAAGGAAAAACTGAAATAAGTACATTGCATAGGCTAAGTATTCGTACCCTTATATTAACTTAAAGCACCATTACACTCAAGTTGTTTTGGGTATGATGTGACAAACTTGAACATCTGCATGTGTATTGAATTCCAAAGCTGCCAAAATAATAAATAAATAATTTATTAATTAATTAATTTATGTTTGTATTTGTCTACATTTGATTTATTTCTACATTTATTTGTCCGTATGGTAATGAGGGGTATGTGTTAGGCCTACCTCAGATATAGCAATCAAGCTCAAAGTGGCAAGGGCAACATTTGAGACCACAGTGACTCCTTGTAGTGCGACCAAACGAAATGCAAGAGCTGTGCGGACTAGTGTTTTCAAAAATATTGATATTTTGATATCAATTCTGAAATGGTTCCAATACTCCTTTTCTGCAGTATTGATACACCGATACCAGCTATGCGTTTTTACTCTCTCTCTTCTCTCCGACAGCGACACACTACCGCCTACTCTCACTCACTCGTCTCATTCGCTCCGGTTGAATAGTGTCGGTGTTGGCCTGAATTTCGCAGGATTATGGGGATTGTGCATAATTTTACTCATTCCTGCAGGTTTCACACTCACACCAAAAGCGATCACACCACTAATTTATGCAAGTGGCGCTCACGTAAAGCCGCCTCTCAAACAGCTTGCGAGTAGCAAATTGACTTCTTTTTCATGGCTTATTGTATATAAACGATCAAATACATACAAAATAATGTCAAAATGTCCGTCTTGCCGAGTATTCAGATAAATACAGTCAGTTTTGGAACGTAAATAGTTTAGAGAAAATGCATGTGGTGTAACAGTAAATTGGATCCATGCATAAGCTCTTAAAGTGACGGCAGGGAAATATCACCTCTTAATGGAAAAGTTTGTTTCTGTTGCTGTCAGCATTGTTATAGGACCTTATGCATTAAAAATGCAGTTAGCTTCTGTGTAAGTATCTACAATGTATGGCTATGGTGTGAGATGTGTGTCTCACTAGCTGTGTTTACATGGACACCTTTTGTTTGATTTAATGTTTGATTTAATTCCAAAGTAATCCCGACCGGAAATGTTTTACGGCCATATCCGGAATGAAGAGTATATACACAGTTAGGGTGATTGTTATAAGATGTCCATCTCATCTTTATAAGATGTCCATGTCGAAGTCATTCATTGCCTGTGTGTCCGCACACCTCTTGCGTTTTGTCTGGTCACTGTGTCCTCAAAGCTTTAGCACTGCCACTCTGAGTTTGATTGCTATGTCTGAGGTAAAACACGCCCCCTCATTAGCAAACAGACAAAGAAATGTAGAAATTAATAAATGAAGAAATTAATAAATGTGGAAATAAGTAAAAGTGGAAATAAATAAATGTATAAATAAATGAAAATATAAGGTAATAAAAGTACAAATGTCTTCACTTATTTATTTTTTACATTTCTTTATATAATTATGTATCTTTATTTATTTATTATTTTAGCAGCTTTGGATTTCCATACATTTGGTGATTTTCTTCTGCTATTTTTACCGAAACAGACTTTTTTTTTTATGAACCATTAAATTTCCCATATGTGCCAATACACAGAGCCGTCTGTTGCGCAATCAGCTCATTTCGTGGTGCCATTTCTCATCCACCATGTGTGTTGTGCAGGCTTTATACCAGTGTAAATGGACTAATGAAATCCAAATTTTGAACCGTTTTTACCATAAGTTTTTATTTTATTTTTTATGGATTTTTTATTTTTAATTTTTTTTTTAATTTTAACTTTGCACATTATTACTGTTGTACATTTCTCGGCCAATTAAAGGATGCTTTAAAGTTTGTGCTTCGTACTAGAGGTAATGGTATAACAAAATCCAAGTTTTAAACAGCTTTTACTGTACCAGGCTTTTTACATGACACTTTAAATTGACATAAATATAAATGACTTCTAATTTCAAAAGTTATAAATGCAGTTAAAGGATTTTTAAAAAAAATTGGTGCTACAATAAAAAAAAAATCCAAAATTTGGATTTCATTAGACCATTTCCTCTAGTATATAAAGTCATTAGCTTTAACACACCCTCTATGGTGGCTTGTTTCCGTTGTGTTGTGGCTTGATTCTGTGGTGTTGTTAACTTGTATTTGCTTTTTAATTTTCGTTGTGTTGTGCATTACTGGGCCAACTTAATTAATAACGCCACTTGCTTGATATTTAGATTTTTAATTGTACACATAACTTTTGACCCTCTAGTGGTTAAAAAACTAAACTGCATGCATTTTGTGGAAGAACATTGTTTTGGTTGTGCTGACTGTGCACTGTGCAGATGAATATGGTTATCCTACTGCTTTTTAGGGTTGGGTATTGTTTGAATTTTAGCGATTCCGATTCTGCAATTTTATTTCGATTCTGCATATCGATTCCTAATTTCGATTCCAATAAGGTAAAAAATATAATGAATACCGACCGTGAACAAAAATCAACAGGCTAAAGAACACTTACACAAGTTTTGAACTTTTGCCTATGGTTTAAAAATACCATCGCAAAAACAGCTAGCTTAACTAACTAATAAAAATGTAGCATTATTAAAGACAATTTAACACTCAGTAATTATAAAAGAACAAATAAACAAACTAATTAGAAATCACACAAATCGTATCATATTGAATCCATGCATTCGCTCTTATAGTGACAGCAAACTAATATTAATTTATCTTCATCAAACAACAAAATACAAAGAGAAAATCATTAGAATAATTCTTTATTTCAATATAGAGCTATTCAAGTCATCTAGTGAAATTTTCTTATCTATATACTGCAGGAAAACTAAATATTGCAAAATTAGGGCTGTCACTAGTGATTATTTTGGTAATCGGTTGATTATTTTGACGATGTATATTTCTGCAAAAACCATCCTGTCCGGTCTAAATAGAAATAAATAGGCTTAGTGAATCAGGATAAGACAAGAAAAAGTTTTGGCATAAGGATTTATGTATTGACAGTTCATTCAAATTGTTAATTTTGAACAAAAAAAGTTACATAGTGTACCTTTAAGATAGTTTGTGAGATAAGATTGATTACCAAGAATATAAATTTAAAGTCATGTAAATCTAGCTTCATTTTAAAAAAAAAAAACACTTGAGACATTATGTGCATGAGGTTGAGGTGTTATGCAATAAATATGTCATAGTCCATATTTAAATAAGTCTGTTAATTGTACCTGTGCATCTTTGGCTGATGTAGTCCCAAAAATTTTACTGCTTTTGCACAGTAAAGAGAAAGACAATACTTTATTTTGGCTATTTATTGTACACACCCCAATATAAAATAATACTTCTAGTCTAGTCTACTGTTTACTGGTCATACATTTCTTTGTTTCTAGCTTAAGTTAAAAATGATGTATGAGTGGGTTGCCCTGGAATGAGTTATGCTTCTTTAATGATATGCAAGAGAATACATATTGTTCAAAGGTTTGAGCTTGGTAAGAATTTTTTAAGTGTTTTTGAAAGTCTCTAAAGGCTGTAATTTATTTGATCAAAAATACAGTAAAAACAGTAATACTGTGAAATATTCTAAAAGTTTAAAATAACTGCTTTCTATATTAATACTACAGATTTTAAAAGTTATTTATTGTTGTGATGTAAAGCTGAATTTTCAGCATCATTATTCCAGTCTTCAGGGTCACATGATCCTTCAGAAATCATGCTGATTTGGTGCTCAAGAAACATTTCTTATTTTCATCAATGTTGAAAACAGTTGTGCTGCTTAATAGTTTTGTGGAAGCTGTGATACATTTATTTCAGGATTCTTTGATAAATGGGAAGTTCAAAAGAACAGCATTTTTGTTTTTTAAATTTATATTTTCATGATGAATTTACTTTCACTTTTAATTAATTTAATGCATCTTTGCTGAATAAAATAATTCATTTCTTAAAGAAAAAATCGCACTGACTCAAACGGTATAGTGTACATCACAATTATTGGTAGTTGTTGGTTGAAGGAAGCTTTGTGCTTTTTAGCTGTCTTTAAGCCCTATTCGCCCTGGATTAGT